CTTGTCTGCTAAATCAATTTGGTGTCCATTCTGGGTCAGCTGCATTTAAAACACCCCATTGCTTTTTAAAAATCTGATTGATTTTTCTCTGCATTATGGGTTTTATTGTCCTGCTTCTTTGCATGATTGGGCATTTTCTAATTGATTACCAGACATTATGCATTTTTACCTTGGTTGCTAAATACTTTTATATTCTTCTCAATATGCTTGAACTTGTCCTGGAACACCATTATCTGAAATCAGTTTGATCTTTTGCTTCTTGATTTTAAATTTTGTTAGGTGGGACCATAGCTGACTTAACTTAGGGTTAATTTTACCCACTAATGGTCTCACCCAGAAAACCCAGGATCACTTGCCTACTTTGAGGTCTGTAGTCTCTTAATTATATATACAAAATCCCTTTCTTCAGCTAACATTGTTCCACTCTTGGGATTCAGTCATGAACACCTTCAGGAACTATTCTTAGGCCTAACACAGTTCACTCTCTGACTCCCCCAAAATTCGTATCATGAATGACTTTCCCACGTTGTCCCCCACACTTGTCAGTTCCCAGGGTACAATTGCACTGTGATGTCCACCATTCCAGACTCAGCTTGGAAAGGGAGGCCTAGGGCTCTTGAAGCTCAACTCCCTCCAGCCCCTTAGTCGCAGGGCTTTAGCTTTCCCGACTAAAAATGTCCCTAAAAGAAATTGAACCGCAGGCACACACGGCCCAGTGTGTTTTCATTGCCATAGTGCTGAAAGAAATGTGTGGAGATTTATTGAGGCACACACAGAAATTGGAGCAATCTATATAACCGCTGTGTGTGAAATCACTCAGAAGGGAGCAGAGACATCAAGTATCTACTGAATAATGGAAAATGAAGTGTGGATTTTGAGAATGAGCCTCTCACCAAATGAGATCATGTTCCTGGAGAGACCTGGGCTGGGGTGGAAGAGGTGGCCCTCCTTCCTCTGCATCCTGGGCGTGCCAAGGCCGAGGCTGACGAGTCTTCACCAAGCATGTGCAGCTGACCCTGCTCTTCACTCTCCAAGAGGAAGAGAAAGGTATGCAGAGAGTGTATTTCTCTGTCTGCCTCTTTCCTTGTGTCTTGTGTCTGGACCTCGTCCCTGGCTGTGCCCATGAGCATGTGGCTGGGACAGATACCCATCTGCGTCTTATTTCTTCACTCTTCAAATCCAGGATGGCTAACATCATCCTTGAGAAAGGGTGGGGAAAGTCCAGGGAGGGGATGCTAGCTCATGTCTCCACCATAGCCTAGGGTAGAGGGCCAGCCAGGCCCGGGTGAGGGGAGGAGGCCAGGCAAGGATGGCAGGTCCATAGCCGCGGATGGACAGGGAAAGAATGGTGCTGCCGAGGAAAGTGGGACAGAGCGTGGGTCCAGTTTCAGAGCTGAGTCATTCACAGATGCCAATGTCAAACTGTCCGGATGGAAAATGGGATCCCAATCTAAAGAGAATTCTGAAGGCACCAATTCAGATAAGCCATTTAGAAACTGAGATTTCCCTGGAGGGTGAGTGTAAAAGGAGAGCACGCTGGGGACACGCTGTGAAGCGGTGTGATGCTGGGGCACGGAAGGAAGGGGGCACTTAGACATACTGAAGTGCAGACACTGTCTGGGAGGAATGAGAAGCTCAAGGCCCAGGGCCTGGCTAGAAGAATGGCGGGGTGGGAAGCTGAATCTGCGCTGTTCCCACCTCCACTTCCAGAGCACAAGGGCAGCCCCTCAGCCCAGCCCCTCGCTGCTCCTGGGCAGCAGAGCCTTCTAGAAATACAGTCACTCTCAGGGGCTTCAGGAAAGGAGGCTGAGCCAACAGTCAGGGCTGGACTGCCAGCAAGTAAGCCTCTGAGAGAAGCTGAGTCCACAGCAGAATGACACAAATGTCCCCAACAGTGAGACAGCTCCCCTCAGAGGGCCTCGGCCACAGTGCGATGGGACCAGGCAGGGGCTTTCGAGGCAGCACATTGGAGGCCTGTGGTGCATGGGCCTGGGAAGGATGATGTACAAGCAAGCAGTCCTCACTCGTCCATCCCAGCCCCACATCTCCGTGGAGGCCTCCCTGTCATTTCTGAGGTCAGCCAGGGACATGCTTTGTGTCAGCCATGGGACCAGGATGGAAGGGGTACACACCTTTGGCTTGTTCTCTCTCTAGGTCCTGGTCACCACTTTGGGAATGTGGTGTGCCCACCTGCAGGGGATGAAGGAGACACCAGATGTTCACCCTGATGCCCAGTGCCAACTGGCTGCAGACCTGTGCACAAGTCTGAGATGAGACGGTCCTACTGCAACCCTCAGTCCTGACCACAGACACGAGTTTGACAGACACCTATTGTGCCCAGCCGTGGGATTCTGGGGTTTGGAGACAGTAGATGACTGATAGGATATCTGAACAGGAAGAAAGGGGCGTTTTTTCCAGTTTACTTTAGGGTGGTAGGAATAACAAAAGAATGACAAAGAGAAGCAATTCAAAACTACAGAGCCAGAGCTAGGGGCTGGTGGAAAAGCCAGTGTTACTGACTGTGGGGGTAGTTTGTGGCTGCGGTTGGCACCTCTTGCTGGGAAAGGTTCTTGTTCATCTGCACAGAGGAAACATGGTCTCTGTCCCAGGAGAGGGTGCATGGAGGGAGCTGTGGATTCAGCTGTCATTGGTTGTCTATAGGCAGGACCGGACATAAGTTCTCACAGCCTTCCTTTCTCCATCTGCCTGGGGGACTCAGGTCTTCTGGGTAGGGGGCCCTTCCTTGGGAGATGTGAGCCTCTCTGTCTATTCTATCCTGGGCCTCACCTGTCCTAAGAGCCCAGCTGGGCCTGCACCCACTCTTTCAAAGTCGCAGTCTTGGTGGGGTGACCCAGGCTCTAGGGAAGGTAGCTTGGTCTTGGTCCAGGCACTGACACAGCAAGCTTCTCTGCCGGCTGTGGCCTCCACCAAGACCCCAGGACAGCAGGCCTCACACTCAAAGGCCTCATCTGCATCAGGCCATGGGTGCCAAGAAAATCGCTAAGTAGACAATAGGCATTTTTCTCACCCAGACAGTAGCTAGAACGAATGCTACAGACCTGGGTCATTGACCTCCTGAATTCACTGGAAAACAATCAAGAAAAGTTATTTTTCTCTCTGACCATTGATCTCAACTACACAAACTACCTGCGCCAATTCGCCACACTTGGGCAACATCTCTGTTTTCCAAGCAGTGTTGCTCAGGGGGTAACGCCTCGCTTCCTGGCTGTATGTCCAGCGCTGGCCACTATCTCTGAGTGTCCCCTTACCCAGGGGAGCCCACACTCCTGTGAGTTCCAGGTGGCAAAGCAGGGCCCCTTTGAGCCCTGTCCCTCCTATTGCCCTGCCGTGGATGTGAGCCGAGGACATTTCAGCAGCCAGGCCACATGACAGATGCCCACCCCCAGCTGGACACTGCTCAGTGTTCAGGCAGCTTTGCTTTGAAATGTGATTTGTTGTTAAGGCCCTGGAGAGCAGAGACCGTTGTCTGTGTCAATTTTTATTAAAGTTAAATTGAGAAAATTCAAAAATAGCCACATGAGTCACCAGTCAGAACCAGTTTCAGGGCAGAGAGCAGTTTACTGAACAGAGACCAGGGAAGCTTCGGGCAGGGGACACCTGGCACAATGTATCTGTGGAGCCCTGGGCATTGGTCTTGGCTTCTGACTTGCACTTCCTGTGTAAGACAGATTTTGATGCAGTGAAGCCCTAAGCAACGCTGGGCCATGGGTTTGAAGGTCGCATAGCTTCAGGGAAAAGAAAGGCCTCAGTGCGGACTCAGGCTGCCTTAGGGTGAGCCTGCCCTGGACAGCACATGCCTGTTTGCAGCCTCACTCCTCCATCCTTATCCCACGACATTACGGAGCTACTCTTTTATCCAGATGAGGGACAGGGAACAGAAACACTAAGCAGTGGTGCCTGGCAACTTACTAATAAAAAGCACTTAGCATGGGCAATTGGAGCAATTAGCTGGTACTTGTGCCCTGACGGGATGTAATCAAGGTGGGAAGGGCCTTTGGTAAGGGGTCTGCTCCAGGAAGTGGGTATGCGTGGAACAGCATGTTTCCCTAAACGGCTTTGCAGAGTGGCTGAGGCTAAGTCCCACAGGACCTGGGACACTGACAGTGAGGGAAGAGGGGAGACTGTCCAGAAACTCAGACCTGTAGAACCCACAGGTCGCAGACTGCTGGGATCAGCTCTGGCTGCCTGGAAAATGGCAGATGCCGGTGAGTGGTGAGTGGTGCTGGGGAAATCACTGCGCTGCCTGCCTCCCTTGGGGCCTGAGCTTTGCCTTCTGCCCACAGTTGACAGAAGGAAGAAAGCTGGAGAGTGGGGAGGGGAAAGAGATGAAAAAAGAATTAAGATGAGTTATGTACATGTACCAATCTCCATGAGAAATGTAATTGTTATGGACTGCAAACATGGACTAATAAAAAATAAAAATTAAAAAAAGAGAGAAAGTCAGGGGCCAGGCTGAGCAGGAGTGGAGACCCAGGAGCACCCCACCACCACCAGGCCACCAGGGCTTCTCAGCCACTGTCTCTGTCCACACCCCACTTTGGCACAGCCAGCCCTGGAGGAAGAGCTGGAGAGACAGACTGGAGGCTGGGAGATTGGAAGGATTCGTGCGTGACTCTGGGCCAGGCATCCGACATACCCTCCTAAGTCAGGTCCTGCGGGGTCAGAGAAACAAGAGGCAACCGGCTCCCCTCAGGGACACAGCAGGGACAAAGCAGTTGGCAGGGCACAGCAAGGGCCTGAAAATGGGATCAGAGTCACAGAAGGGCATCATGCCTTCATGAGGAGATGGCACAGCCTTGGGGACAGAGAGGACCAGGGACAGGAATATGGCTGGCTGCATGGGAGTCCTTTGGCACCAGCATGGAGAGTCCCCCCTCCCCTGTCTCCTCCAGCTGCCTCCCTGAGTCGTTGTGCACCTGCTAATCAAGCAGTGGCTGTTGGTTTACCCCACACCAGGGCTATGTCAACAGCCATCTTACCTGCCTTCTCAGCAGCCCTATGGGGGCCCTGTGCCCTCTGGAGAAGGTTCTAGAAGCCATCACACTATGCAGCTCCTTCCTGTCCATATTCGTTCAGAGGCCCTAGGGGAGACAGGAAGTGGTGTGAGAGCTGAGGACCAGGGACCATGCTGGGCTCCAGGAGAACGGGAGTCAGGTGTGGCCAGGCACAGGCTGAGCCCAGGTCTAGCTCACCTCCAAGACTGAGGATCCCCACCACATCCCCACCACCAAGCAATCAGCACTGCCCTTTAAAAACCCCATTACAGAGGGTGTGGCTGTTTCAGAGAGCCCCACTTCTTTCTCGCTCTGCAAGGCCACATGGTCATCCTAGACCTGAGCTTGGCACAGGTATCAGCCAGCCAAGCAGCAGGTGTGGCAAAGGGAATTGGTCTCTCCAGGGAAGAGACCCAAAACAGAAGAGATTGCTCTCCCCCAAAACAGAAGGGTCAGCCAGTGACTATAGGGGTCACAGCCACTCCTCTGAGCACATGGTCACTGGGGAAGCCCTGGGTTTGACAGCCAACCTGTTTACCTCCCCTCTGGGCCCTGATATACCCCCCTGCCTCACTTCCATACTCCATGGCCCTGCATGCCACCCATGGCCTGCCACGGGTGCTTTTGTACACTCAGCCTGAGCTCTTCTGTTCCTTTACAGTAAAAGGGAGACAATGATGGCCTCCAAGTTTCCCATGGGCAAGAGTTGTGGAAGGTCCAGTGGAGATCTGAACCCGTGGCTGTCTGCAGAAAAAGCTGCTCACAAATCACCTGTTCACCCAAGGCCATGGCATGTGAGTCCCTGAGGTCAGTACTCATTTTCCTGGCTCCATTCCCAAAGGCTGGGGTGGGCCAGAAAGTAGACCTGCCCTTTGTGGTGGTGGCCTTCCTGTCACATTAATCTGCTGACTCACTGAAGCAGTGGGCTGGAAAGAACCATGAACTCAAGGTTTTTGGTGGCTCCTGCAGGGAGACAAGGCATGGGCCAGGAGGCATGGGTCCCGTGTCCTCTGGGAAGGGCAGGCTCACTTCTCAGGGCCTATGAGAGGCCCTTCTCTCCTCCTGATGCTGACTCCACCCCATCAGGCCCATCCCCCCGCCTGGGTTTCATCCTCCTCCATTGCATCCTGCAACACCTGCCCCCACTGAGCTGTGCATGAGTCTAAGGGAAGGAAGACGGGGCCTCAGAGAAGTGACAGAGCTCTGTGCAATGCTGCCCTGCAGAAAATGATGCAAGCTGCACATAATGTTTCAATTTTCCAATAAACACATTTAAAAATATAGAAAGAAGTGAAATTGATCTTAGTGGATAAACCACTTCATTGTAAAACATGTAATCAGTGAGACAGAATTATTCATGAAATATTTTCTGTGTGTGTGTGTGTGAAGTCTTTGAAATCCAGGATACAGCTCACATTTAGGGCACGTTTCCTTTAGCCCTGGCCCCATCTGAAGCACTCAGGGGCCATCTGGGAATGGTGGCTGCTCTTGGGGACAACCTGATGCAAGGCTGCTTCTTCTGCATCAAGGCTGCAAGGCTGCTCCAAGCCTTGGCAAGAACAGGGCAGTAGCAGCAATCCCAGCACTTTCACTACTCAGGGGGCATCAGTCTTTATTTTTTCTGTGAAACCTTCACCAAGTCAGATGTGAAGCCTCCTGTAGAAAAGGGATTAAATTAGCATTTTCCAAAGGGGTCAGCCCCACTGCCAGTGGCTAGATGCCAGCGGCCATCCCTCCCCACTTGAAGCAACCAGAAATGTCCCCCAACACTGCCAAATACCCCCAGGGAGAGACCTTCCCAGGGAAAAGCCACTGCTGTGTCCCATTTCTGACGACACCTGGCATCATCTGGCTCTCTGGCCTCTTTTCTCTGATTGCCATTATTTTTAGCACCTTTTCATATGCTTCAGTTTTCAGGATTTTCCGAGGACACTGGCCCTTCTTGTTGATTTACAAGAGTGCCCTCTGTGTCCTTGATGCCTGTCCTTCAAAGAGGTGACAACTATCTTCTCCTGTCCCTTTGGCTCACTGACTCCACGCACAGTGTGCCTCACGGACAAGCGCCCAGTGTTGATGTCGTCAGAGTCAACATCTGCATGACAGCTTGTGCTGTGAAGTTGCAGGGAGCCCTTCAGTCCTAAGTCACCAGGGCTCAGCTTCTACAGGCTTCACACTTTCACCGTTACAATCTGGCTTTCAACCATGCAGACCGCCTTCCATGCAGTGGTGGATAGGAATCCACGTCCGTATTCCACCACGTACTGAGCCACCCACTAAGGAATCTTTCCTTCTCCTTTGTGACGCCACCACCTCAGTGATAACAGGAGTCCCCACCCCGGCGTGCGCTTGTCCTTGGCCTCTTCACATTTTATTCGTCTACTGGTCCTGCACTGAGCCCAGAGTCATAACATGGCTCTGGAACATACTGATCACACAGTATCGCAGTACTGATCAGAACATACTGATCCTCACAATGGTTCACTCAGTCCCGCTCCTCTGCTGCTTCGTCACTGTGGGGTGGCATGTAGGCTTGGGGGTGATACTAGAGATTGAACCCAAGACCTTTTCCCTGAGCTAAATCTCTATCCTTCTTTTTTTTTCTTTAGAGATAGGGTCTAAACTGCTAAACAGCCCAGACTGGCCTCCAACTTTCAATTCTCCTGCATCAGCCTCCCAGAGTGCTAAGATTACAGCCATGTACCACCACACTCAGCTCCCCTCTGCTTCTTCTAGTGAACTATGTCTCTACTCACAACTGAGTAAATTTATTAAACTCCTCAAAATACCCAAATGGAATTTTTATTGATGTGGTACTAACTTTATAAAATGATTTCAGGGAGAATTAAGATTTTGATACTAAGTTACCCACTTCAGGATTATCTAAGTCTTATAATTTTGTACTTCAAAGACATACAAGAACTCTTCATACACTTGCTTAAATTGGCTCTTGGATAATATACTTTTTACTGCCAATATGGGTGGCATTTGCTGTTTCTAGTTCATACTGGTGCTTCTTAGGAATTGAACTATGTACCCCACCCTCAAGCTGGATGCTGAAGTCTGAAGTCCTGGTACCTCAGAACATGACTGTTTGGAGACAGACTTCTGGAAGTTAGTCAAGATAGATAGCATGGTTGGGGTGTGCCCTAATCCAACATGACCGGTGACCTGCTAAGAGAGACTGGGACACCACATGAGGACCCAGAAACAGGAGGGTTATTCACAAGCCCCGGAGAGGGCTCAGGAGAAACCAGCCCTGCCCTCACCCTCACATTGGATCCCCACCTCCAGGCCTGGGAGGGACAGATGCACCTATGGTGCTTTGTCATGGGTGCCCAGGAAGCCACAACCCTCATCTTGGTTTTGGTACGTTTATCTCATTTCCAAAGTTCTTGCTTGAGCTTGAACTTGAGTCTCCCTGAGCTTGGTTAGGAAATGACGGTCTCCTCCTAGAAAGTCCCTTTCAGCATCAGGTGCCCAGAGAAGGCAAGAGGAATGGGTATGAGGAGGATTGGAATCAAGAAACTACTGAAAAGACTCTTGAATATGCCTACCCCCACCCCACAGGCAGCCCTGGTGTCCTCAATGGGCAATTTCCCTCCCTGGCTGACTGCAAAGTGCTGGATACACCCAGTGCCTGTCGTGTCTACGCTGATGGCTCCCTCTTATATAGAAACACTTTTTTTAATGTGTTACTATCATGTACTGAATTACCATAAAAGCTGCTAAATCCAGGAGGCTGGGAACAACTTTGCCTCCTTTACTTTAGTACAGGTAATGGCCCCACATGGAGGCCCAAGAGCATGGGGCACCCAGCCACGCAATCACTCCCAAAGGCAGCAGAGTCCGGTGCATGTAAGAAGTTAGGAGAGGCCTGTCAACTCAAATGGCCACGTTTTAAGGGACATTAATTTTAAAAGCTTTCTTTGATAAAAAAAATCATCACCTAAAGCTTCTCCCTCATCTCTAGTGGCTGACTTAGCACATGCTTTAATGAATGAGATAAGATTGATTAGCCAGGCTTGATTTTGTATTTCCTCCCTATAAGAAAAGGAGAGGGGCAGGGAGGGGAGCGGTGGGGAGGGGAAGCCAGAGGAAAGGGGAGAGGAGGGAAGGGGAG